AACGTAACGAGTACGTACCTACTACTATAGTAGTTCTTCTTCGTCTTCGTCGTTCGTTACGTTAGTACGTATACTATACTATAGTAGTTAGTTGTCTCTCTCTCTCTCTCTCTCTCTCTCTCTCTCTCTCACACACACACACACACACACACACACACACACACACACACACACACACATACACACACACTTAGCTTCCGTTGTTTTTTCCTATAGTTTTTATGATGGAGAACGCTCTCTCTCTCTATATCTATCTATCTATCTATCTATCTATATATATATATATATATATATATCTCAGCTTCCCTTGATTTTTTCTTATGGGTTTTATGATGGAGAACCTCTCTCTCTCTCTCTCTCTCTGTTGCTTCTCTTGGTTTGTTCTATAGGTTTTATGATGAAGAACCTCTCCGGGCCTAGTATTTTAAATTGTCCCACCAATATTAATAGTTTGCATTTGTCTGCATTCTGGAATGCAACTCGATGTACACACTTTCTGAATTTCAATGAAATGTTACTTAAAAGGAAAAGGATATAAGCATGGTCACTTTTGAGACCCAATATATCTAACATCTTTGAGATATTTAGAAGCCCTAAGGAGGTCCCAAATTGTTTTAAGGCCTACTTGGTGTGAGGACTGGAAAAGCTATCCTAAGATGAAAATTCTTTCTGGAGATACCCTTGAGGCCACTGTCTCATAAATTTTAAATTGTTGTACCTCTTCGGAAATGTATATTAAATAAACATAACTTTTAGGTTCATTGGTTAATACCTCGATGGGTGATCCTTTTTAATATTGATAAAAGAGGATCTGCTTCTGATACAGCAGGTGATGGAAAGAGCATAGGACTAATATCCTTTTGGCAGCTTCATCCCTATCATGATGGATTTTTTTTTATATGTTTTCCTCTCTTTTTGTTTTGCCAATTAGGATGCTGCTGATGCGCATGGGTCATACAAAATCTGATCATTTCCTTGTTCACAAACTCGATAGTGTTATCAGATATTGGAATCTGAACATGTTCAAGTTCTCTACCTTAACCGCAAAAGTTGTTTTCTTAGCAGAAAATATTCATTTTTTGCAGTTTTTACGCAGTTGTATAGGCTATCACTTTTGTTTTAGGGAATTAGCTACAAAAATCAAGATATTCACTTTTGATTTGAATTATTATACCTGAGGAAATTGGTTTATTTATTGTTTTATGTCAGGTATAAGTGACTACAAACAATCTCTTCGATTCCAAGATTTAAATGATGAGAAGAGGAATATAAGGATCGAGGTGAGTGCCGCTCTTAGTTGCAGTTGTTTGTTAATTTTTCTGGTTATTATTAATCATGTTTGTTGGGTCCATTTGGGTTTTGAAGGTTATTAGGGGCGGTAGGAGACTCCATATCTCAATATTTGATATAGTTGTTGGTGATGTAGTACCACTTAAAATTGGTGATCAGGTAAACAAAAGTTCCTCATTGATCTTATTTTTGTGTAGTGCTAGTTACCGATGTTTGTTTTCTTTATGATCAGGTGCCTTCAGATGGTGTCCTCATTGTTGGACACTCACTTGCAATTGATGAATCTAGTATGACTGGGGAGAGCAAGACAGTAAGTCTATCTTCTTTCATCCTTCTTGGCTCCATGCCTGTTTTAAAATTGTAACTCAGATGTTATTTGGTCATCTTCATGGCACCTCTTTTCTTCTTAAATTGCGCAATTTCCTTTTAAATAATACATTCAGTTACTTATAAAAAGGAATAAAATGCAGGTTCACAAAGATCAAAGAGATCCGTTTATGATGTCTGGTTGCAAGGTGGTTGATGGATATGGCAGTATTCTAGTATGTACTCACAGAACTCGACAAATATTTCTAGAAAGGCAAATAGTAGTTGGGACTGAAAATAGCTTCAAAACTCGGGGCTTTTAAGGGGAAATTTTGCTTTGCATCTATCAATTATAAAAAAATCATTATTTTGCTCAGCATCAATGACATGGAGTGATGTTCCTTTTAAGTTATGAAGTAAAGAAACTCATTCATATTATGAATAGGATGATATGACTTTCTTCCTTTGGAAATGATACCTAAATACTAGTACGAATAGTATAAACCCATACCCATGCCAAGGTGGAAACACCTCCAAAATGGGTATGGAGCCCAGGGTGAACTGTACGTGTATGTCAGGAATGATGTCTTGATCCTCGATTCCTGAATAGCATAAGTGCAATTGATAGATTTCAAAGGTTTCAGATTTTTTTGACCTGTCCTGTAATATGATACCATTCAGAGGACATGTTTTTGAGTTTGCATTAAATTTGCAGACATCATGAACAGTATTAGTTATGGTTTGCCATATATTGCGTAGCTATATGAGATTGCTCTTAAACATAAAATTTGGATCTTGTCTCAAAATTGTCTTTCAAAGGCACGCCTGTTGTAAATTTGGTTGACTGAAAAAAGTATGCTACTTAAGTATTATCATGTCCTGTGTTTGCTACTTTAATTTCCTGACCTAGCGGGGATGCCTCAACTCTGTCATGTGAATCTCTAAGATTGGTCTATTTAATACCATTAAATTTGTATGTGATGAATTAATCATCGATGTGGACTGCCAATATCATTACTACCATGGTCAGCAATGAGTAATTTTTTTATTTGGCTAAGCCTTGCTTGTGCTCCTTGTTTGATGGCATGCGACGATCACATAAAACTCCAGATGCACATCTCCACTTACACCCACTCAGCTCTAATTCTATGTGCAACGTCTTCCTAAATCTCTCCATTCATCTGAATTATTGATTCTAGATGTTGGAAATATTCTCGTTTAGGTATTTCTTGATCATTGATCTGAACTATTTCCTCATTTCAACTCCTATTATTACTAAACTTGTATTCCATATACTGTCTTTGATTGGCTAATTTTAAAATCTTTAGATTCTAGAGCATCCCTTCAATGTTTAAACTTTGCATTAACAACGCCTCGAGTCTCATTAATGAAAACTGTCATTCGCGAACAATATATACCATGGTACCTCGTCTTGTAGGTTCCTGGTTAACTCGTTCATAACCGAAACAAAGAGATATGTACTAAAAAATGACCCCCTGATGTAGGGCCTTTCTCACTGAAAACTCACTTATTTCTCCACTAGTTGTCTGCGCACTAGTTAGTATCCCCTCGTACATATCTTTTACTATGTCAATATATCCTCTGGTGACTCCTTTCTTTTCCAATACCCACCAAGTTAGATCTCTTGGTACCCTATCGTATGCTTTCTCTAAATCAATAAAAACCATGTAGAGGTCTTTTCCATTCACCCTAAACTTTTCAATCAGTTGCTTAAGTAGAAAAAGGCCTCGATATTTAATCTCCCTGGCATAAAACCGGACTAATTTTCTAATGCATTTGTTTCACGTTTTAGTCGTTGCTCTACCACTCTCTCCCACCGCTTTATAATGTAGCTCATAAGTTTGATCCATCAATAGTTCGTAAAAGTTTGTGTCCCATTTGTTCATATAAATAGGTGCGGCAATACTTTTTCTCCATTTATTTGACATTTTCTTTATTCTCAACACCTTGTTGAACAAGTTGGTGAGCCAACATATGCCAATCTCCCCCATGCACTTCTAAACCTTTATCGGGATGGCATCTGGTCCTAAAGCCTTTTCTATCTTTATCTTTCCCAAAACGTCTTTTGCTTCGAATATCTTAATCCTGCGAATGTAATTATGACTTTCGCCCTCATTTATGTCAAAGGTTCATTGTAATATTGTGTTCCCATTATGTTTGTTATTTAACAAATTTTAAAAGTGAATTCTCCACAGTTTGTTGACCTTGTCATCTTTCACCAGGATCCTTTGATCCTCACTTTTAATCTTCTTCCTAATTTCGTTCTTATAATCTTGCACCCCATATTAATGCCATGACGATACCCATTAGGAACTCCAACAATGATCTACTCCCACCAAATTAGACTCCCACAGGAAAAAAAAGGAAACTAACTAAAACCCTCATCCTAGTAAATAAGAATTTGACCACCTTTTCCCATGACAATAAATGAAACCCAATTTAACCCTTACACTATAATTCCCAAAAGTTAATGCTAATAAAACGAATAAATAAGTCCAAACTTCCACTTGAATTTCTCCAAAATAAATCAGCGTGATTCTTGAGCCACACCAGTCATGAGAAATCTCACCCTCGGGGTTTTGCTATTGCACCATCATCCTCCCTTAGCTGATGGTGAAGTCCCATGACTCCATGCAATAGTTCTTTGTGAGGCATGAGGCTGAACACTCTGGTGTGTCTATCATAGTTATCCATTTGGAATATATAATTGGCAAAGCGCTGCTGACTGAGAGTTCAACGTTGAATACCCTCACTCAAGAAGCAGCGTTGCTTCCCACACTGAAGAAGTTCGAGTCTGATCTAAGAAATGTTCTCCCAAGTGCAATCTCTCAATTCTTGTTCTTAGAAGAAAAAAATAGCCAACTAAGTTACAGTCATCAAATATTTCCTTGCAAATAAGTAGGCACTATCTGGATCCGCAATTTGCAGCATATAATGTAGTGCTTGGTGCTCCTCATTAGGTCCCCTACTATGTGATGTAGGACTTCAGAAATGAGAACATCGATGGAAGGCATGACTGCCAGCATAGTTGCATGAATGGGCGAATGTTGTGCATGATTGTGAAACTACTGGGACACACGTCATCACTGATTTTACTACCCAATTCAAGGATTTGTTGAATGCTTTGATAGCGGCATCGAGGCCTACTGAACATCTCACTGTAGATGCAAGGAAGAAAGGAAGTAGCTCATAAACCACACAAATCATTGGCAAATTCCAATTGTCAATTTCAGCAGGGGCATAGAGAGCACTGAAGACCCCAGCTAAGTAAACAACATGACAAACACCAACACCTGCACCTCTCACATGACCATTAGCCGCATAGCGAGTATTGAGTCCATTGGAACTCTCAGTAAATTTCAATATGGATCAGGAAAAAGATGGAGTACTTCTCTAAAACAAGTACTGTTTCGTAAAGGTTCAATTGCTAGGATCAAAGAAACGACCCACACCATTTGATTCCTCCAAATTTGGTACATGCAAAAAGCTCGAACTTCTGGGTTTATAGTGCATGGTAAGAACAATCTCATTTGATTCAATACCCGCTTGAGGTCTTAAATTCATCTTGAGAGCATGGTCTCGCTTTACATGTTCGAGAATGACAAGAGTTGCGGATGCCAAAAAGAAGCTAGCAAAAGTCAGCTTACTTATTGTCAAAGCCCAAAGCCATGAATTTCCAAAGAAAATTTAGAGTTCTTCCTCCATGATTATGGACAACACGAGGTCCTATCTGAAATTCCCATCTAAAAGCACCTCGGTCTTGCCACCATGCAGTCCTCAAGGAACTAGACCTGACACAGACTGCAGTAAAAGAATACCCCATGGAATCATTTGAACCTAAGCCCCACTTAACACCTATGAACTCGAACACCGAAGACTGAATGTCTTAAGTTCAAGAAAGAGCACATGTTGATAACAACAGGGAAAGCCAAACTACTTGATGTAAGGTCATGGCAGATCTTAAGAGAAATGATTTTTATATCACTTCCTTGTTTGAAAGTCCACTCTACAACCTCACAAGATTATTCACCTCTGTATTTCATAGAATCAAACATCATGTTTGCAATAGGAAGCTTGTCAACTTTGCGGAGGGGTGGTATGAATGCATTGGCAATGCAAAGATTATTACTGAATCCACATCTTAGAGCTTTCGTACGTGTGTCCTTAATGGCTTTTGTACTCTCCATACCTGCGGTGTGTACTCTGATGCAAATACACCAGCAAGAGGAGAATGGAAAAATCCAAATCCATGGATCTCTGTCTCCATAAAACATTGTGACCCATTATCAAAGAAACTCGAGAAAATTCGACCACGGATTTTGAGGTTGACTAAGATAAGTCCCATGTTCAACATATAGTCTCTTTTAATTCGAACATGGTAAGTTGCAGTTGAAGCTCTCCACTTAAAACACAGAAGTAGCCCAGCCTGCCTCTCCAGCATGGAAGAAAATATTACCGAGTTTTAGGTGGACATTGTCTTCATCGACGTCACCAGCAAGAAACCAAGCTGAAAATGCCATTAGTTCCTTGTTGTGGACAAGACATTGAGAGAACAACATCCTCTTAAAATTTTTTTTTCTACTCCTTGAACTCCAACGAGTAGTAAAAAATTGAACTTTTCACAAACTCAGTATCCTCGTAACAGTTCTCGCTACGGATCAGGTGAGACTATAGTTACCCGAATCGCCTATGAGGGTAACGATACCGTTTTGGAATCTCGATTAGGCGTTTCCTCGGGCGAAAGTCGATTCTAAAAGAAAGGAATCACGTTTCCATTTTTTGCAGAATGTGATTCCACTTAGTTTAGGAATCTCGATTCTTGGATTGCTGGAATGAAGATTCCATATCGAGGACTTTATGATTCTTAGCTACACTAGAATGCGATTCTGCTTGTGAGAAACATTGATTCCAAATTTTTGAATTGAGAATCCATGTTGTTTGGATTTCCATATCGCAAACATCATTATTCCTTGCTACACAATAATGCGATTCTACTAATGCTAAACGTTGATTCAAAGTATTAAGGAATTGCGAATCCATGTTGGCAGGAAGCAATGTGAGCATAGGGAGAGCAGAAACCCTTCGATGTGTGCTCAATCATGAGTGAGCGCCACATGTATGAGAACGTGAGAGAATTTGAAGTTCTTGCATTGCAATAAAATCAAAATTTAAAATATGAGTAATATGTAAGCATAAGGAGAGCAGAAACCCTTCGATGTGTGTTCAATCATGAGTGAGCGCGACATATATGAGAGCGTGAGAGAATTTGAAGTTGTTGCTCACTGCAATAAAATCAAAATTTAAAATATAAGTAATATGTTAAATTTTTTATTTTCTTATTTACTAATTTCCATCCTTTATTCCATGTTACTGTTTAAGAACTCTTACCAATAATAACTGATACTAAAAAATATGTTACTTCAAATTTAATAATGTTTGGTAAATGGTGTGGGTACTAAACTTCTAATGTAATAATGTTTAATATATGATTGACACCGTCATTTCTTCAAGTTGAATAAGAGGATAAAAATTCTTTTCTTTAAGTAAAATAAGAAGATAATAAGAATATGAGCGAAGTGCCATGTGTGGTGTTTTAGGTTAAATTAATTTTTAAATATCAGAGAAATTGACTAAAAATTGAATAACTTAATTTTCAAAAGTCAAAAGACTCAAAACTACATTTAACAAAGACGGATTACTATGTCATGTACTTATTTTATAGTTCAAGGAAAGGAGATCATGGGAGTTTGCTCGTGTTCTCACTCCTTGTATGTCGTTGACTAGCTCCAGACCTTGCAGGCATAATAAGGTTATCGGTAGACCGAGTCCATTGTATGGGATTGTCCACAAAGATATCATAAAGGTTGACATTAGTACTGGGAGTCTTGGACTGAGTATATATAGATCAAAATTCGATGTTGTAGTAATGGGTAAATTTATATATTTTTTGAACACTTCTCTCATATAGCGGAGGGAATTGGTTCGCAATTCTAGTAAGGGGATAATCTTGATTCCAATATGGGGAGAATCACTATTCCAGAATGATGAGAATGTTAATTTGAAGTTGATGGGGACAACGATTATAGAATTTTAGGAATCACGATTCCATATTTTTAGGAATCATGATTCCAGCAATCATCGAAACAAGTGGGGTCATGTGTGATTCCATATAGGTATGAAACGCGATTCCAACATGAAGGGACATCGATTCCTAACTTTTTGAATCGTGATTCCGAAATAGTGAGAATCATTTTTTTGAAATCCGAATCGTATAGACAACGATTCGTAGATTTCGAAACTTCTGATTCCGTGATTCCAGAAATGATTCAGAATCACAGACGTTTCCAACAACTATAGGTGGGACTACCAATCTATGACTTGTTGATTTTGGAAACTAATTAAAGCCTTAAAGGTAAATATATTTCCTCCGTGGTCAGCCTTGGAGAGGGTTTGATAACATTCAAGGAAATCAACTTTAATAATTGGTTCAAACTCTCTTTCCTTGGATCTTCTTTTATCACGATTATGATCATGTATACCCCCCCTCTTCCCTATCCATGCCGCCATGCCAATCACATTGGCCTCAGGGTGGGCAGTTGTCCGAACCTTTTTCATGTTCGTGCTCCTGGTGATGCCATCGCCCATCGAACCCATCTAGATGATCAGACACGCCCTTAGCTCGCTCCCACATAGACTCGGGCTCTGTTTCCAATCTATATAAAACCCTCATGATTTAGATCCAACCATGGTGTTCTGTTAACCTTAGGGGCAAGTTGTTGCAGATCTTGCTCATGCAGCACTTATGTAACCATCTTGGTCAAGTTGTCAATTTTCTTGTGTGCTCAAATCACATTGGTATTCCTACTGTGGGATTTTCTTGCGCACTCGGGTCAGATCGGCGTTCTTACTTCCACGACCTCCACAACCAGCCTATTATCACTGATCGTCTGCTAATCCTTCTCTAATACTACTTGATATGGAAAGGAGCCTGGGAAACGAAATTCAGCCGTCTTTTGATCTTAGAATGCACACAAATCAGCAACAAAAAGGAAAGAAATATAGTTGTAAATGAATCCAAGTAGAAGAAGATGCTCTTTTCTTCTTTATTGAAAATGTTCTTCACAAAAAAAAAAAACTGCGTCTAAGCATGCAAGGGAACGTCCCTCCTAAATACAAACTTAAAAGAAAATTTAACTTCCAAATCTCTCTCTACCCACATACTAGCACTCCACTTATCCCCTCATGCACTTCCTGCCAATCCTCTTAAATAAGTCCAAACCCCCCACAAAAATTTCTCCAAAATAAGTTTCAGCGTAATTCTTGAACATGGTAGTGTGATTTGTACCAATTTTCCAAGAGAAATGATGTTGACGACATGAGACAAGTAGTTAGCTAAAGAATCTCTTAGATTTTGGTGGCTATGAAATATGGGGTCTCAATATATGATGCTTTTAGTTGCAGAGAAAGTTTCAATCTATGATTCTTTTTGTTGCAGAAAAAGTTGTTTCTATAAGAAACTCCAAGATCATATTTATTCTTTAGATTTTGGCCCTCTTTTTGTGTTTCATTTTATTTTATTTTATTTTCGGTTGGGGGGGGGGGGGAGTAGTTGGGTTTGGTTTTGAGAAGGCAGGCGTAGTGAGTAGTGAATTTGTTACCTGTTGGGCCTTATGAGCTGGGTTCTGGTAAAAACACTAGAGGGGAAACACATTAATAAGAAACATTTCGGATTCCGTGAAGTCTTATGACATGTTGAGTCTATTCATTCATGTGATACATGTTGAGTCAATAAGCAGTTGTAAGGTGATACATTAATGTGAACATCTTGTGCGAATCACTATATCTTGTCATCTGTTTTGCAAGTTATATAAATCAGTTGGCAGTAAAATATATCAGTGCATTAATCCTTTTGTGCAAGTCATATGTACTGGCATGTGGAAGTGCTTCTGTAGTATCCACCTTTCAGGTCCTACATTTTTGTCCATGTTATGTCAATAAATTGTATATATCTTCCCCTTCATCTAGGTTTCCTTCATCTGGCTAACAAATGCTATTTACAGGTAACAGCTGTAGGATTAAATACTGAATGGGGTCTATTGATGGCTAGTATTTCAGAGGACAGTGGCGAAGAAACTCCTTTGCAGGTTCCATGCCAAAAAATTAAGTTCTTATTTTTCCTAAAGATTATGTGTTTTCCTTCCAATGATTGCAGTAATTAAATAACTGCTTCATGCAGGTACGCTTGAATGGTGTTGCTACTTTGATTGGTGCGATTGGAATTTCTGTAGCCGTTCTTGTTCTAGGTATCCTTTTGGTTAGGTAAATTCATGCCTTTAATGCTGTAAATGCTTTATCGGTTGACAATGATTTTTTGAATATTCCTGATAAATTTTATCTCTGCTTTTAGATACTTCACGGGAAATACAAAGGACCCTGGTGGTGCTGTTCAGTTCATAAAGGGAAAGACAAAAACTAGCACTATCCTCGACGATTGTGTCAAAATATTTGCAATTGCAGTACGTAATCTCATTTTTTGAACTTGTTGACATCTATAATCATATATTGGCTCTGCGACTAAAGAATCACCATATCTCAATTTCAGGTCACTATCGTTGTTGTAGCTGTTCCTGAAGGGCTTCCACTGGCAGTTACCTTAACGTAAGTTTGGTTTCTTTTTTTCTTATGGGTATATTAGTGCTTCCATGATGATTTTGCTAGGAAAGTCTTTCATCTTTGTTTTCTTTGTTTCATGCAATTTGATAACAGATTAGCATATTCTATGAGAAAGATGATGGCAGACAAGGCCTTGGTGAGATTCTTATTTTGAGTTGTTCTGCTGTATATGGAGGTATTATTTGGGTGTTTTCTTTACTGAGAGTAGTGTTATCACAGGTTCGGAGGCTCTCAGCCTGTGAAACTATGGGCTCTGCTACAACAATATGTAGTGACAAAACAGGAACGCTGACCTTAAATCAGGTTAACTCAAGTGAAATTTTCTTTCTAAACAGAAAATATGTCACCTGATTTTGTACTTTGAGTTTCTTGAGAACCCCTTTCAGTTGCGTGTTGCTTCATGTTCAGCCATACTTCGTTGCTGCAGATGACTGTCGTTGAGGCATTTGTTGGTGGGGCGATGGTACATCCACCAGAAAACACTGAGAAGATGTCTCCAAAGGTAGCTTCTCTAATAACTGAAGGCATAGCTCAGAATACTACAGGCAGCGTCTTTATTCCGGAGGTAAAATGCTCTGCACATGGTGTTAGGATGTTGTGTATGTCTACTGCTGGTAGCAAATGGCCTATAACATCTAGGATAGTAGGTTAGTCTCGTCCATTTTTGCTGGTCTCTATGTTGAAGAGGTATAGTTCTGTGAATTGCTCATCAACCAAACAATTTATGCCCATGATCAAACTCTAAACATACTATCACACATGGATGAATGTGTGTGTGTGCATACCTGCATTTTATATATTGCATTTTGTGTGTCGTATATCTACTTGTCTATGTGTGGCCATTCACATGTGCTGTCTGTACCCATGTGCATGTGTATGTGCATGCTCCGCATATTTGCACGTGTACTTGTTCATGTTCGCTGTATGTGCAACTATGCATGCTCACACTGAGTTACTTTTACTCTTCGACATATCTAATTGGGTTTGCTAACTTCTGAAACAAATTAATTTTTTATTTTAAGGGAGGCAGAGCTCCAGATGTCACTGGTTCACCAACTGAGAGGGCTATCCTCTCCTGGGGTCTGCAGGTTTGTTGCCCTCCTACTACCATTGCAGAAGACAATCCAATTAAGCCATGGAAAAGCCATAGTCCACTGGGTCACCATTATCGTCTCAAATGGACTGTGATGAGAACTGAGTGAACCCTCTGAACTAGGACAGGTTCCCAATGGGAGGTTCCACTCTCGCTCCTCAACTGTAAATCATGTTATAGTGATGAGCTTACAAACTGTGATTTCTCCATGGTCCATTAGACTACAACTGTCCAATATACTTCGTCGTTATTATTCTTTTGGTCTCTGACTGTTGATGTTGATTATCTGGACTTCTTTTCAGCTCAGAATGGATTTTGATGTCTTGCGATCTATTTCTTCAGTTCTCCATGTCTTCACCTTCAATTCAGAGAAAAAACGGGGAGGTGTTGCAATCAAGCTGGTAATGATTTTTTATTACCAATTGTTTCTTTCATGTGATTGATGAGTCTTTGTGGGTACTGAAAGGGGGTTGATAATTTTCATGCTGTTCTTGGAACCAAGGATTTAATATGTTCTCTTCACCTTACAACCGGTGTTATCAAATGCTAATGAAGACTCGATCGATCGGGGTCCGATGCGCTATGTTCAATGCAGGCGCATCATCTCTGACGCAGTCAATAAATTAAATTTTTTAAAAAATATAAGTATGCATAGAATAACATGAATATGTGATTTATATGATAGTAGGCTGGTGAATGTAGTACTTATCTCAAATATATCTCTTGTTGTAGTTGTAGCTTGATAAAAAACTACAGAGTATGCTAAAAGATTTCATGCTCCCATGGGAACATGCTCTCCATTTACTCCCTTGGGTAGAAGCCACTCCAGGAGGAATTTTAAGATCCAAACTTTTGGGGATTTAACCTCTTCATAGACTCGCAATCATCAAAATCACTTCCCCACTAATTAGAATCGGCCACTTGAATCCTGGTCTGCCATTCTGCAACCTCTTCATAGACTAAAAGGAAGAAAAATTTCGAATTGCACTCTCTATGCACTTGAAAAGAATAGTATCGCAAGATTGAATAGGGACTATCCAATTTTTTGAGGGTGAGATCTAACTGTTGAAGAACTTAAAATTAAAATTTTATCTTTTGAAAATAATCATCTAGTTATTCTTATATAGTTTCCAAAATTTAATAGTCAAAAATTCCTCCCAAGTAGTTCTTTTGCCCAAGGGAGTAATGGACAATATGCAGGTGGGAATACGGTATATTCCTTCCTCTAATTGTCTAATGCCAAAGGATTTCATATTCCCATGGGAATATTCACTATCCATCTACCCTTGGGCAAAACTCATGCTAGCAATATTTTTTAGATCCCAGACCTTGGGGATATAATCTCTAGAATTCAATGACCTTCCTCAAAAAGAAAAAGAATCACCTTGCACTTTTTATGTGCCTAAAAAAATGTCGTTCCAATTTTTGGAGTGGAAGTTCTAGATGTTCAAGATCTCAATATCTAAATTTTTTATTTGAAAATAATCCTCTGGTGATATTTAGATGGATCCCAAAATTTTGAATAAAAAAATTCTGTTGCTTGAGGGAGTTGTTGTACAGTATGCTCCTGAGGGAGCATGTTATATGCTCTCTAATACAATTCAATAAACATATCAACGAAGTAATTCATTCCATTCATTAAATTAAATGAAACATATACCAATTTACCATGTGACCAACCAAGAACTTAGAAACTATATTAGCATTTGGCAAGTACTAGCAAGTATGGTAGTGCTACATTGTAGAATCTATCACAAGTACATAACATCTGAACAAAAAGTTCATGACATATAAAATAGAGATAATAAATGTAATCAATATCTCGATTCTCAATCATACAAGTCATATGATCCATCATATGCGCATCTCCAACATCCAAAGCCGAGGTTGTAGAGCTAAAACGATTCAAATGATAGACTAAAGGATCCACTAGTGTTTTTGGAAACTTTGGAACCGAGGAAAAGATTTATGGGTCGTTTGAATACTTGACTGTACAAACTTTGGTTCGAGTTGTCTGGTAGGAAAAGCTGTTTGGTGATTTTTCTCTCATTAAATTCAAATTATTACTAAGCAAAAAAGTACCTCGAAACCTATCTCAAAGTACAAAAAAAAAGAAGAAAAAAAGAAGAAGAAAGAAAACAACTTGCATTATGAATCACATGACTATTATGAATCACATGACTATGCAGAAGCAAACATCTACTCATTTGGGATGCAAGCTGCATGTCAACTTCTCTCTCTCTCACTTATTATTATTTGTTAAATAATAGTATTATTATTATAGTTATTATTTTCATGTATCATCTTAGTGTATTATTTGGTTGTAATATAATGTAATAGAATATAGTAAATGATATTTATTGGTTTACTTATTTATGAATATATATGATATATATTATTCCATATTGTAGACAATAACAATGATGAGAATACCTACGTACCATAAAATAAATGTATATTAATGAACACACCAATCAACGAATAAATAATGAAAGTCACCACTTTAAATCTACTATATATAATACGCCACATGGTTTGGCAACCATGTGGTGCACAAGAAATATACTGGAAGCTTTTGACGGTAGGGTCTTGTAGGTTTGTGTTTTATACAATAGTGTACTTTAATTTAAGCAAAAATAAGATCATTATACACTAAGTTGATTTTATGTTTCCTCAAAGTGCATGATCCCTCATCCAAAAAATCTATGTAGGCTTTTTAGAACACAAATTTCAACTTTTTCTTTCTTTCTTTTTCCCTAAAAACTGGTCATATGCGTCAATCAAGAGTAGACCCCAAATTTTAGGTCTAGTATCATGCTATTAAATAAGTTCTTTTTCCAAGGGACTAGGTGTATACTGTGTTTCTAAGGGAACATATGACAATATTTTTACCCCATTGGGGGGTACCTTGGCTGGACAAGAGGCATGTATGATCATCATAAGGATTAATTTTTTATTTTTTTTCCAAAACAACCACTACCAATATACTTTTCTTTATTAATTCAATTAAATATTTATTAGTTACATATATTTTACATTATTGAGGGAAAAAATTTATGAGGTTGCGGCTCTAAACAATCAAATTAAGGTGCACCTAAAAAATTCACTAGAAGAGGTTGTTTCGATGTCGAAAGACCCTCAAATCGATCATCTTGATCTTGAGATGTATAACCATTACAAAGATTTTTGCGACTGAAAAATCATCATTTGACACTATTTAGAAGTACCCCTTTGATTGTTTAGGCCCTCAATCTTATACAAACCACACCCATTATTAAAAGGAGTACCTCACTAAAAAACTTAAATTTATATAATGAAATAATAAGTTTTACATTTATATTATTTGTCAATATTTGTTTTAAAAGCTATAAATTTGAGGAAAAATTGCATAAAACCCCCAAAGATGGTCTTTCTAAGCAATTTACCCCCAACCTAACTTTTCCTAGCAACTTTTCCCCCAAAACCATGTTTCTTAGCAAATACCCCACCAAGTAAAAAAAAAAAAAAAGAAACTAAAATACCCCTCCCTTACCTCACACGTTGACCATGGTTGTGCGACACTTCACCATGGTGTTTCGGCATTTGGAAGAGGCATTCAGGCACTTAAGTCACTATTTTTGGAACAGTTCAACATTTCACCATGACAATCCGACACTTGGAACGGTCCGGCAGTTCACTGTGATGGTCTGACACTTCACCATGGCGGTCTGGCGTTTGGAAGAGGCGGTCCAACATTTTAAGTCACTGATTTGGAACGGTCAAAGACTTCACCATGGCGGTCCGGCGTTTGGAAGAGGCGGTCCGACACTTAAGTCACTGATTTGGAATGCTCAAACACTTCACCATGGCGGCCCGGAGTTCGGAAGAGGCGGTCTGGCACTTATGTCACTGGAGTGTGCGGTCCAGCATTTGGAAGAGGTGGTCCGGCGATTGTCACTGGAGTAACGGTCGTTTCGGCGTTTTACAAGTGTGGTTTGGCATTTGTTTCTGGATTATTGAGCGGTCCAACATTTGTAAGCTACGGTCTGGCAAAATTGTGTCTAGAATAGGTAGCTTGGCAGTGTATAGTTCCAGTCTGACAGAATGGATGGGTCCGACAAGATACAACCGTGGTTCGGCGTTTCCTTTCATTGGGATCTGAAAATGATTTGTTATGTATGGGGAAGGGTATTTTCGTCAAAAAAATGATTTTTTTGTATTGGCGGGGTATTTTCTATAAAACTTGATTTTTTGGGAAAAATATGCTAAGAAAAATTAGGATGGGGTAAAGTGCCTAGAAAGTCTACTTTTGGGGGTTTTAAGCAATTTTCGCTAAATTTTATATAGAGGGTGAAAGTTTTGAAAATTTGAATCATATTAAGAATAATTTTTAATTATCATAAATTTTAAAATGTCAAATTTTCAAAAATCTAATATTTATTTCTAGTAAAATTACATGAGGTTGTCTACAAAGAGAGACCATTTATCTTTTGTACATGGAGGTCACAATTATTCCCACTCGATGTCAAACTGGATGGCTTGGGATGAGTCATGAAGTTCGAGAATGTTTTTTTGGAACTTTGTGTCTGTTCAATGACACCCTTACAACCACCTAATTGGATAATTAAGGGATGAGAATGATTGTGACCTTCATGTGCAAAGGATTAATGGTCTCTTTGTAGACAATCCCAAATTATATTATAAAACATTTGTAAGTATATCAAATACTTATGTCAAAAATGTTTGTCCAACTTTTTAGACTTTTGAAAGAGTACAAGAATTTAGTAAACAATTAAACTATGAATATCTCATTGGCAATAATTGTTTAGTGGCATAGTATTTTTAGTATAAAAAAACCAATTCAGCTTATGTGATAGAGGTCAATAACTGAGGCTAATTTCCTATTTAGGCAACTAATTGAGAAATTTAGAGCGAAGGGAAAAGACCTCCACATGGTTTTTTATTGATCTAGAGAAAGCTTATAATAGAGTACTTCGAGATTTGATTTGATGGGTGTTGGAAAAGAAAGGAGTCTCCAGACACTACATCGACTTGGTGAGAGATATGTATCATAGAGTGCTGAATAGTGTACGAACTAGTGGGGAGACGAGTGAGTTTCCGGTGACAATAGATCTACATTAGGTGTTAGCATTGAGCATGTACCTCTTTGTCTTAATTATGGGTGACTTAACTAGGCACCTACAAAATAAGGTACCGTGGTGCTTGTTGTTCGCAGATGACATAGTTTTGAAGTTTGATTGATGAGACCTGAAACGACGTCAACACAAAGCTAGAACTTTGGAGGGATGCTCTAGAATCAAAAGATTTTAAAAATAGCCAGACTAAAACAAAATACATGGAATGCAAGTTTAGTAATAATAGGAGTAGAGATGAGATAGTAGTTAAAGATTGATAGCCAAGAAATACCAAGAAGAGCTCACTGTCGATATCTTGGGTCGATAATCCAAAAAAATGGGGAGATTGAGGTAGATGTCGCACATAGAATAGGAACTGGATGGGCGAAGTGGAGATGTGCAACCGAAATTTTTTGTGATCGTCACATACCAATATAGTTGAAGGGCTAGTTCTATAGGACAGCTGTGAGACCAGCTTTACTCTATGGTATGCAATGTTGGGCGGTCAAAAAACAATATACCCATAGAATGAGTGTAGAGGAAATGAGCATATTGAGATGGATGAGTGGCAAGGCAAAAAGGGATAGAATTCGAAATGAATATATTCAGAATAATTTTGGTGTGGCACCAATAGACGATAAGATGAGAGAGAGTAGACCTAGGTGGGTTGGCCATGTATGGCGTGAACCAAGTACAATAACTGTTAGGAGGTGCGAGTTAGTTCAAGTGGAAGACTCAAAAATATTAAGGGATAGCCTAAAAGGACACGGTTGGAAGTAGTGAGAAACTATATGGAAACTTATGGCCGCATTGAGGGTATGACCCTTAGTAGAGCATAGTAGCGGACCAGGATTCGTTTAGCCGATCCGAATTAATTAGGAAAAGGCTTTGACGATGATGATATTATTTTTCTCCTAAAAGAATTTAGAAATTTAGTTTACATAAAAGCAACTAACTTCTAAGTTCACGCACGAAAAAAAATTTATTGTGATGAAGAGTAAAAATGAATAAACTCAAGTATATACAATAAGTAAGATGATAAATATGCTTTGGTGAAAGTTTCACTATGTTTGTGATTAAACCATTTCATCAATCATATAGATTTACGCATCATGGTTTTCAAAACCATGCATTAGAAAAGTACATTTTATAATTTCATATACTTTGGTCTTTGTTTATTTTCGATAATAATGTTATGAGTTCACTTGGCATAAAAATACTAGCTTTTTTAGATAATTTTTTTTTAAAAAAATTGAAGGGCTACCTTTTTTGGGTAACCTTAAACAAAATTGAAGAGAGATAACAAGGAAACATAGAGCAAAAAGTGAGAAATGAAAAAAATTCCATAGGTTAGTTCATTGGGGTATTACCACTGAAGTGAGAAAACGAAAAAAAGAAGAGAGAAGGATGATTTTTTGAGAGAGAGCAATTGAATTCTCTTTTTGCAATTAGCTACGTATTAGTTGACATTGAAAATTTCAAAGTTGCATTATAAAACATTAACAAAAATACATGAAATGTTTATATTGAAAATGCACAGAAATTTCTTAACAATAACAATGTGGCAGTATATTATTTATGAAAACAGTGCGCATCTTGAACATGCAAGGCACGTTCTATTGCTAGTTACAAATAATATGCATACATATATGTAGATTAATCATATCATCAACATCAAAATAATATATAACAGTATAATTATAA